ATTAGAATTCTTTCTTAAGAACTTAAATCTGGGTATAACAATGATTTCTGAAGGATCTGGAATAATGGCTGCTTAATATACAGCATTGCATTAGGGTTTCTGCAGGTTTCTTTACGATTTTAAAGACTATTATGAATGAATTTTAGACTTATACAGGGCTAAACATTTAGGATTTTTTCTAATGACCCAGTTATGTTTGTAAATAGTTTTTGTATTAATGGAAGATCATGTAATGGATGTGTTGCTTTAGTTTTTTAAATTACATTAGCACATTTATTTTGGCGAATTTTCTGTCAACATGTCTTAACAGCTGTTTTGAATTGCATTTCTTTGCAATAAAAAACTTAAATAGAAAAAAAAAAGTTGTTGTGTGTCGGCCCGATAAGTAGACCCACACGGACGTTGCGCACGCAGAATTCCGCAGATTGTTAGCCCAACATTGATTCTGTTCATTTACTTGTATAAATGTGTGTAAATTCAGATTTATTCAGTTTTAAAATTAATTTCAGTAATATTATTGACTAATATGAAAATATTTATGCGATTTATTTACAATACAGTTTGCAAAGTAATATTAGCAATTAAGTCTTTTAGTCGATATTTGAGAGTCTTGCTTTGTTTACTATATAAGTAGATCTAGATGGATTTGCATTGCTAACATTAAATTCAAGTTAAAAAAGGTATCACTTTTTATAGCATATATTAAGCTTTTAGGAATGATACTTCCAAAATCATTCGGCATAAATCCGCAGATTTTTACAAAAATTCTGGGCAGAAATAGCAAAAAATGTCCGCAGATTCCATCTGGCCCTACCGATAAGTAAGAACAGGTACATTAAGACCTGTTTAAAATGATTTAAGACCTACAACACAATATTTCAGTGAATTTACAATTTTTTAATGCATAAAATGTGCTTTTGAAATTTAAGACACCCTAAATAAATTACATTTTAAAATATATTTAAATATAATTCTTTAAATCAGAATAAAATAGAACATTTATTTTAAATTGAAATAATATTTCCAGGTTTTCCACACTTCATGAAAGTACTTTCCTTTCAGACATATCGATTTAAGGCCTAGAAAGTACTTAAAAACAACATAGATGCTGGAAATTGCTTGAATTGGATTTGAAATTAAATTTGTTTATGGTGTTATTTCAACAAGTGTAATGTGCTGATGTCAAAAACAAAACAAATAAATATTTAATTAAATGTAACTCTTATACAATAATAACGACAAATAATGCACATTCTATCAATATTTTAGAAACTGCATTTAAACATGTTATTAAAATCTTTAAAAATGACCATTTAAAACAGTCAAAATGTGTGAAAGTTACTCTGTGATTTGTATATTTGTAATGTAAATATTTAGTGTAAGTGAAATGATAAGTACAATAAGGACTTTCATGGTGCTACATATGCTGTGGTAAGAATTACAAAGGTGCTTGATTTAAAATGAATGGTGCTCAGGCTAAAAAAAAAGTCTTGAATGTGGTGTTCATGGAAAAAGCGGGAACCCTGTATATAACTACACTGTACTATTAAATAAATGCAGCACTGCTGAGCTTAAATAAACATACCTGGTAGATTGTTATTTTAGCATCCAGATCAGCAGCAATCCGGGTAAGACTGAACTGAGCGAGGTCTACTGGATCACTGGGGAGCACATGTGGGACGGGGTAAGGGTTTGTGTGCTTGAATTTAGGAAACCAGTACATGATACGCTGGAACTTCCTTATGGGATGACTCTTCTCCCCAAAAATCTGAACCAATAAAACCTTGGTTTCTATGTTCGGCATAACACCTGGCAAAATAATAAAAATGAAGAGTTGTCAAATCAACAACACAATTTATTCAGTTTCTATTATCTCAAATCAAAAACACACACCATAATTCTCCATCTGCTCCAGCACCTGGACTCCGCACTCTTGCTGCCGCGGGTAGTGGTTGAACATCCTCTGTATGAAGTTTTGTGGCACAAACACCTCTTTTGGAAACACATCCAGGAGTTTGTTGTAAACAGTAACGTCACATTCTACACCAAATTCAGGCATCTTTTTCAGGGCGGCGTATATAAACTCCACATGCCCTCGTCGCCGAATGTCCTTGCTTTTGAAAACATCCACCACCCTGTTAAATTCGACTTTGGTTTTTGAGTCTCCAGCAGCTCGGTCAAAAATATCATCATGTGTGACTAAAGTTTTGTCTTTATGATGCGTCTCATCTTCAACTAATTTTTCAATGTCTGTCCGATTTTGACGGTCCGTGGAACACACTGCACTGCGATGGAATGGCCTCAGGAGCTAAAACAAACAAACAAACAAACAAACAAACAAACAAACAAACAAACAGAGGAGTTAAAGGGACAGTTCACTCAAAAATTAAATTCCATCATTATTTACTCACCCTTCACTTGTTCCAATCATTTCTTGCTTCTATTGAACACAAAAGAAGATATTTTGAAGAATGCTTAAAACCTGTAACCATTGACTTCCATACTATTTTAGTTCCTACTATGGAGATCAATGATAACCGGTTTTCAGCATTCTTCAAAATATCTTCTTTTGTGTTCAAGATTTTAAAGAAACTTATCAAGTTTGTAAACACTGAGTAAATAGTAGGTACATTTTCATTTTTGAGCGAACTATCCCTGTAATGCAGGCACCCATGGTCTCTAATCCATCATTATTCAGAGGTAAACATGTACCTGGACGTAGATGTGCTGTGATCCAGGGGTTTGCAGATGTGCTCGGCCAGGCAGGATCACTTGCCGTACAGGTGTCCCCAAAAAATGGGAAACGCACCTGACGCACTGCAACCGTAGCAGATGATGAGAGGCGCTCATGATGACGACATCACAAATCACTTCAGATCAATTACAGCTGTATTGAAATGAGCCTAAAAAGGAACAGCAGAAAGTATCAGAATATTTACCTCTTTGTGACAATGTATCTTAAAGTAATTAGAAATAACTTAATAACTACTTGGAAGTTCTCTGTTTCTCGAGAGTTTGTCATGATATACTGTTATGTTAAAGGGATGGTTCATTCAAAACTGTAAATCTGTCATTTCTTCACTCTTCACTTGTTCCAAAGTGGTTTGAATTGGACTTGAACACAAAGGAAGATCTTTGAAGAAAGCTGAAAACCTGTTCCTACTATAGAGGTCAGTGGTGACAGGTTTTCCAACTATAAAAGTTAATCGTGACAGGTTTTCCTACTATAGAAGTCAATGGTGACAGGTTTTACAACTATAGAGGTCAATGGTGACAGGTTTTACTACTATAGAAATCAGTGGTGACAGGTCTTCTTACTATAGAAATCAATGGTGACAGGTTTTACTACTATAGAGGTCAATGGTGACAGGTTTTACTACTATAGATGTCAATGGTGACAGGTTTTACTACTATAGATGTCAATGGTGACAGGTTTTCCTGCTATAGATGTCAATGGTGACAGGTTTTCCTGCTATAGAAGTCAATGGTGACAGGTTCTCCTACTATAGAAGTCAATGTAATGTAATGTAATGTAATGTAATGTGTATTTATATAGCGCATTTATTGTGTATGGCCATACACCCAAAGCGCTTCACAATCATGAGGGGGGGTCTCTCCACACCACCACCAGTGTGCAGCATCCACTTGGATGATGCGACGGCAGCCACAGGACAACAGCGCCAGTGCGCTCACCACACACCAGCTATTGGTGGAGTGGAGGGACAGTGATAGAGCCAATTCGGTGGAGAGGGGATGATTGGGAGGCCATGATCGTAAGGGCCGATAGAGGGACTTTGGCCAGGACACCGGGGTTACACCCCTGCTCTTTCACGAGAAGTGCCATGGGGATTTTTAATGACCGCAGAGAGTCAGGACCTCGGTTTAACGTCTCATCCGAAAGACGGCGCCCACTGACAGTATAGTGTCCCCTTCACTTTTTACTGGGGCATTAGGACTCATGCAGACCACAGGTTGAGCGCCCCCTGCTGGCCTCACTAACACCACTTCCAACAGCAACCTTGTGTTCCCTAGTGGTCTCCCATCCAGGTACTAACCAGGCTCAGCCCTGCTTAGCTTCAGTGAGTAACCGGTCTTGGGCTGCAGGGTGACATGGCTGACAATGGTGACAGGTTTTCCTTCTATAGAAGTCAATGGGGACAGATTTTCCTACAATAGAAATCAATAGTGATAGGTTTTCCTACTATAGAAGTCAATGGTGAAAGGTTTTTCTACTATAGAAGTCAATGGGGACAGGTTTTCCTACTATAGAAAATGGTGATAGGTTTTCCTACTATAGAAGTCAATAGTGAAATGTTTTCCAACTATACAAGTCAAAAGTGAATGGTTTTCCTATGATAGAAGTTAATTAAGTCAATGGAGACAGGTTTCAAGCTTTCTTCAAAATATCGCTTTTTAAATTATACTTTATTCTACTGAAATTCAAATTCATTTCAAATAAAAATTCAATTTGGAACAAAAAGAAATTGGATTTTCAAGTGGTCTCAATATTTATTAATAGAGGTATATCTGAATGATTCAATTTAAATCTATTAAAATTAATGATCATCACGTTATTGTGAAATCTATCTATCTATCTATCTATCTATCTATCTATCTATCTATCTATCTATCTATCTATCTATCTATCTATCTATCTATCCTGGAAATTCAATGCCAAACAAGTGTAATGCATAATTATATAATACAACAATCACATTATGTATGGCTTTCGCATTTGGATTTTAGCATATTTATAATTGTCCGATATAAAAAGAGACCATAAATTACAAAACATGCGTAAATAATACTTTAAAACGTACTCACGATCCCTGAATTGACTCGGATCATTTTGCTGTCAAGTCTCCTTCAAACACGCACCGGCGAGTTTCCTGGTGCGCCATCCACAAAATTCCCCCTGAAACACTAGAAAGACGCATTCTCTCACATATTGGTTCCTATGTTATTCAATCAATCAACACTAGGTGGCAGAGATGTATCAAGTAAAAAAACTCCCATCTGCAGCTGTCAAAGTTTTGTTTTTAGTTTGCTTTAAGCGGGGTTTTGGGAGAGGGAACGGAACAGCAGCGGATTAGCGCGATTTATTTCAGTTTCGCTTCGCCTGGGGAGAAGGATGAATTAGAAATCAACGTTTTTCACACGGACGCGGTTTCTGGAGTGAATCCAGGTTTTGAGCTGCACTTGCCTCCTCATGCGAAAGACAGATTCACTCTGTGCTCATTTCCTGGATTCGTGATTTCAGAGTTACAGCAACTTCTGCAATCCTCTCAGCGGCTCAGTGTTTATTGTGCGCGAGGGTCCCGCAAACACAAGGCAATGCTGCAGCTCACAGCACACACTGCCTTTCTGCCAATGGGACATACTCATATAATTCCACAATTGTGAAATCTGCAAGGAGTGTTTGATTCAGTCATGGATGGATCTACGAACAGTCTTGGTGAGTTGATAAATACTGTCACTTACTCTGTTTATGTCTTCGTAACATAAATATAAACGAGATCTTTTGTTTTTAACGTTTGTTGTTAAACCAACTTTTGTTTTTTTAGTTTGTTGTTGAGTTAACTAGTTCAGCAAAACACTTTGAACATAACGTTACCATTTCTGAGTTTGTTAAAATGCGAATGAAACAACGCTCGCCACTGTTGACATTTAAATATGCGGTTAAAACGGTTGAAACTAAACTAAACCGTAATTAAGTTTACTTTATTTAACGAATATAGACTTTTTATATGTATATTTAGTTGTTTTATTGTATATGAAGCGTGTGTGTGTAAGTGCAGGGTGTAACAGTTACTGACACTGTATCTCAAGCTTCCCTCATAGAAAAACACCATGGTAACAGAGTTTCCGACAACGGTTACTGTAATTATTGTATTATTGCGTTCACGATTGTTTGATTTGAGCTATAAGAGTAGCTTAAGCAAGTCTAAACTTGATTGTTGGTCTCGTAATGTGGCCAGACAGGCTGGTGTTTAGTTGGGAGCTCTGGCTAACTGAAATGTGTCTTAAAAAATCAGAAAACAGGCCTGACCAGCGTAAGAATGCATGCAATACTTCTTAAACCACTGGCTTTAGCTAAATTAAACACTAATTCTGATAGCTTATTATATACTGTAAAACCCAACAGTCAACTGTATCAAATTAAATGAGTGTAGTTAACTCAAAATTTATTAAAAAAAATATTTCTACTCAATTAAAAAGAGTTTTAAACTCTCGGTAATGCGTTAATTAAATACCTCATTACTTAAACTTAAAAAGAGTAAGTTCACAGTACTCATAAAGATTACTTTTTTTTACTCAAATGGTTTGTAGCAGTCAGTGTCCCCAAACTGTTTAAGTTGCCTTAACTTACTGTGTTTATAGTAGTCAATTGGTTTGAGTTCTCTTTAATTATTTGATTTTTACTGTGCTCAAATTTCTTTGTTTACTCAAATGTATTAAGTTTATAGTACTCGGATTAGTTTTTTATCTTTAATGGTTTGTTGCGTTCGGTTTACTCAAATGGTTTGAGTTACCTCAACTTTTTGGGTTTTACAGTGTATTAAAAGGCAGTGTGTGTATTATAGTAATAAAACTTCAACTTTTTTGGTAGTAGTTTGGTAATACATGCTTCAGTGAATCAAGTATATAAATGTATTTAACTTACATCTGAGTTATTAATAAAATGTATACGTTTTTAGTGTTTTAAGGGATATTCAATGACTATTTTAGACGTTATTGTAGGTCAAACTATACAAATCATGTGTCTAATTTTTCTTTTTTAGGCTACATGCAGATAAAAACACCTATTTTACAAGAAAAGTGTTTTGTAAATACTTAAGATGTCTATCGGTGCTCTAGAACTGCCAGTTTCAGACTGATATGATATTTTCCTAGCATTGTTTGGTGCATTATGCATTCATAATGGTATCCATCGTTATATGTATAATATTTATATTATACCTTTTTAACTTTTAATATTTAAGATCAGAGATCTCCCCCCCCCCATACCTTTGTTTTGATGTCCTCCAGAGGGGGATCAAGCGTTAATTAGTGGGGTCAGTCCCCCCAAAACACTAAGAGGCTCATTTGAATGTATTCAATATTTCACACTAATTGTAGAAACTATGGATTTTTGTGAAAAGCTGTTATTTTTATTGCTTTTTATAGTGTTTTGTGCAAACTTTTGCACTGTTGGGTTTGGATTTGTTCTACATTTTGCTGGGATGTTGTTGCTTTAATGACACACCTACACCTACAACAACAACAACAACAACAGCTGCAGTTCATTGCATCATTTCTATCAACAGAAAACAACAGAAAAAGAAAATTCTCACTTCCTCTGTTGGCCTGATGGCTGTTTCTTATCTTACTTTGATTGTTTCTGAAACAGTATGGCAAGCCGCTTTAACAGTTATTTGTTAGAACTGACTAGTATCTTGATTGTTTTTATTTTTTTAGGTCTATAATAGTTTTATTTTTAAATAATTTATGAGACCATGCAGGCTCGTAGCCAGTCTGGTGAAAGGAGTGGTTCTTTTTTCTCAAAAAGTGGAGTTATCAGCAGTTATTTTCCATTTAATTATGAGATTTAAATACTGCGTTTTAGTGCCATTTTTAAGCACTATTTTTAGTAGGAATAGCTTGTCGGATAGTCATCATAACCAAATTTTTTGATGTACCAAAAAATTTAGAATAAAGAAATGTGGAAAAAAGACCTATTTTTAAATTTATTACATCATATATCATTAAGAATAAAAGGGAATCTGTTAAAGTTTTCAACTAAAAACTGTTGCCTATTGTCATTTATTAGGCAAATAACAAACTGGCCAGCACATTCAACTGAATTTTGCTATTTTAACAAAAATAATAAAAATATTTTTAATGAAAGTTACTTGTAAAATGTTTTATTTTTTTTATTTAAAAACAATACAGTAGCGAAAGAAGACTTCTCTTACAGTATGTCAGATTGTATATTTTCTTGCACAGCTGGATGTTGGACTCATGACACATATTTGTTAGAATTGGCCAAAACTGATTAGCTGAAGTCCCACCAAAGCGGCAGCCAACAGAGGAGTCTGCTTGGTCTTAAAGCCTTCTCCGATGGGTTATTTTTTACTATTTATGATGTAATTGCAGTCAAAATAGGACAGATGAGCTTATTATGGCACAAATTCTGGACCTTTGTCAGTAAGGGGTGGTTCTTCCGAACCATTCAAACCCCTCCTGACTACTGGCCTGCCCTGTTACAGTATCTAACCTAATACTTGCTAGTAGGGCTGCACAATATGAGCATTGATATCGCAATGTGTGCGCCCGCAATAGTCACATCGCAAGATATGCAATGTTGAGTTGTGATTATAGATGACCAGAAACCACAGGTCAAAAACACAAAAGATTTGTGGAGGCGCTGCAGGATTGAACTATGATAGAGTAAAAGTTTTTCAGCTGCATGCGTTTTTAGGGTCTGTTGTACATGCCAACTATTGATTGGAAAGTCTATATAGTTAGGTTTAAAGAGAAATTTTGATTCTGGGGTTTTAAAACATGCTTCTAATAACATCCGGTATCTATGTCCCGTGAAGAGCTTTAAATTGTTTATTTTTTCTTTTTTATTGCTTGAACTGACAATACAAAAAATTCAGAACGAAGTCCATGGGATCACAGACAGATCTTTAAAAAAAGGTAAATAATATACATAGTCATAAGAAAAACAATAATCACATACGCATACAAATAACATTAGATGGAGAGAGAGATACAAAATAAGAAATAAAATATTAAAATGAAAAAAAATAATAGTATTAATAATAATAAAAAAATAACAGTAATAACAATTAAAAAATTACTAAATTAAACTGAAGAGCCTTGAAATATGTTTTTTTATTCGATGTTTGCTAGAAAAGCTCCTCCCCTTTAAAAAAACAGCCAGTAGTGTTTAGTGTTTATCACAGCTCTGCCAGTGAGAGTGGTTGAGCTCAAGCACATCAAATGAAAAGCATCATGAAGGGGGTGGGGCATGGCAGATACTAGAGAGCATTTGATTGGTCAAGATTTGAGGAGAAACTGAAGTTTGAGGTGGTGAGAAAAAAATCGTTAATCCATTTAGACGGAAATGAATTAAATGCAATGTTCACACCACATTTGAAGTAATTCAGTTTCCTAGGTATGTTTGGTTAAAAAAAAAAAAAAGATGCATTTAGTCCAATTTTTGTTGAATTTGTCTTTTTAAAGAGCAAACCTAAAGATACAAAACAAACCTAAAGATACAAAAAAAAAGCAGCCTTTATGGGACCTCTGAAAAATGGCAGCACTCACACTTATTTAAAATGAACTGCACTTACAAAACAGCAGAGTTGGTTTAAATCAAGCCTATCTATCATAAAAAGTAACAATCAGTCAAACTGAAAAACATACCCATTGCTATTAGATTGCTTTTTTAGACTTTTAACACAAAGTGTATGAAAATATATACTATTTATAAAAAAAGCAATGTTTAAATTGTACTGTAGCTTGTTTGTTGTTTAGACGGCATTGTTAGTTATAACAGTGTTGTCGTCGTGTGTGATATTGCTTGCAGTGTAGGTTTTCAGTGCTAAATGGATGTCTGTAGCGGTGACACCACATGTGCTTTTGTTTTGTTTACTGTCTGTTAGCATGCTGGGCCAGCGGTAAGCAGTAAATGTCATGGAGGAAGCCCTCTGGCATCATGCTTTTACCACAGATGCTTAATTTCTCCCAGCTTGTCTTTTTGTGATGGGCTTTCTGTCTATCTCGTGTGCCTCAAAGACAAGAAGTTCATGATGATTGCCAAAAATAGCAGAGAATTGATTGGTGCAATTACAGTGATTGACAAGTTGACAGTGTGTCAAAGTGTCTGGCTTATGGTTTAATAGCATGGTGGAAGCATTTTTTTTGTTTGTTAGTCTGTAAATTTATTTGTTTAATGTTTAAAAAGTTTTAGATGTGGAAAAGAGCAAGGAACTTAAATCTGACGTTACATAAACATTCAACCCAGGCTCACTCTGAAAATGTAGTCCCGTGGACGTTTCTGGAGACCGCGAAATACGTCCCGGGAGGTACATATGGCTGCATTTAATTTTTTTTAAGCGAACGCTATGGGGCGGTATGACGCTGTTCCCATTCGCGCTCACTGGCTGACCGCTTACCTCCGCGTGGAGGGCTTTTCCGCCGCAACCAGTTTGTCCGGTCAGCTCATCGTGTATGTCTGCAGACTTCAGATGCAGAGAGGAAGAGTAGACCACGGCGACCGGGTTCGAGTCCGAGGAAGAGCTGTTCCAGAAATCAGGTAAGACAAAAACAGAATCTAAAAAATAAAGTGAACGAGTTCAAAACAGGGTGAGAACGTGGTGAAATCCGAAAACGTGGTTAAAAAAACAGACGAGGGCTTTTCTTTTTCTAGACGGCTTTTCTAAGTTGTTTCTCGGGTTTAGGGAA